GCAAGACGACCTTTTTTTAAAAACGACTATGTTTGAGAGTATGCAGTGCCACTAATTTTAACTCTTTTTTGTTCCAACAAATTTTAAAACGTCGTTAAAATACATGCAAATAAACCTTGTTAATTTAACTACAAAAGGTGTAAAAGTTCCTTTGCAAAAAATTTCCTAACAAAGTTAAAAACACATACCTCTTTCAATTATTATATCATTTCGCTAAGCAATTTGGAACATGGAATTTGCTAGCGTCAGTATTAATTAATTAATCGTAGTAATTATGTAATCGAGTAATAATTAATCGTAGTGAAAAGTGTGCAATAAACATCACACAATTTTTATAATATAAAATTATGCTATTTTATTGCTGCATCGTAGAATTGTTTCGTTTCTAGAGGTTTTGAAATGATTCGTAATCAAATTCTGATAATCAGACTTCACATTTTATGCATTTGAGATCAAATTGAGCAGCTCGAATTTAAAACAGCGAAAACATTAAAAAGGAAAACAAATTTGTTAGTGGCTACTGTTTCTTGTAACGGATGGAGAACACTTTTGAATGTGAATTCGCAATTTAGTTATTATTCTTGCAAACCGATAAATTACAATAAATATAAGTACTTGTTACTAAAACATAAGACAAATTTTATACTAATAAGATAATCTGGATAATTTAGCCTATTATTTATAATGTAGTTCATAAAAGTGTGCGTTTGTTCTAAAATTCACAGGCTGTCGAAAATACAAATTTTCACCTACTTTCATTTATGTCGTTAATTTCGCGTTCATCAAATCATCATTAAAGTCGATTGTCCTTACCTGAAACAAACAAACATATTTACATTACATCTATGTGTAAAAGAATTATGTTCTTATTTATATTCTTGTAAAAACGTGCAGACAAAAACTGCTACGCTTACATATGAATGTTTCGCATGAGTTCCCTTCATTTAAATAGAGAATTTGCTTTTGCAAGCAAGCAAATTAGTAAGAACTACGTTCCACACGTTCACGCATTCGAGCAATTTGCAATGTCACGCTCGCTATTATTCAGCAAGAATGCCTTTCTGCATTCGCGATCGCCGTATTATTTCGGTAATCAAGTATCCCAAAAACGAGCACGCTTTATGAAAAGTGCGAAATGGAAAATATCGGCTGCGGAATAACGATGTCTAATAATCCGAACTTTATTGGTCAATCAACGGTTTACAGTCCCTTGAATGAAGATTGATTGCGCTTTTCACGACTCGGTATTAAAAATACATACGCGTGACGCTGAATAGCGCAGCGGCTAGCTTGCTCGATTTTCGAGTATTGACGTCGTGCTGATAGGCGGAAATTTCGTGTACTTTATTGCCGATAAGTTGCGTTGCAATTTGCCGCACTGGCGGTGGGTTTAATGCATCGGAAAATGAATTTCAACAAATTTGAAACTATTCGAGTAAACGTGATCAGCTTAATTTATTCTGTGATTCGATTGAACATTTTTTCATCTAAAATTTTGAGCTTTAAGATGATTATGCTAAATTTATTGTCAATCTTTCTTTTCCGCAGTTATTAAATTTTTTTTTTATAGGTAAACCTACAATTTTTTTCAGATTCGGGAATTAATAAGTTCGTCTCAGCTTCCCCTAAAAGATGGATACAAAAAAATTGTAGATCATCCTGTGAAAAACTGAAGGTGACCTTAATAATTACGAAAAAAACGGTTGATCAAAACTTTGACACTATCGTCTTAAAACTCTAATTAAACCATGTTATTTTAGATAAAAAAATTTTCAATCAAACCACAAAATAAATTAAGCTGATTACGTTCTGTAGTCCACCTTGTATATAGAAAGTGTCTTCAAATTATGATACTTCCGACAAATGTGAGGGGTTTCTGAGGTCATTTGAAGTAAATTCTTCCTTAACGAAAATGTAATCCGCGGCTTTGTCTTCAAGTTCTTAACGAAAAACAGCAACAAATGGGAGGCGAGATCAGCCGAACCAATGAGCGGAACTGGCCTTTATTCACTGGTTGGTTCGGCCGCCTTTTTCGTTAATGACTCGTAAATAAAGCCACGGATTCCATTTTCGCCAAGGAAAAAGTTACTTCAAATGACCTCAGAAACTCCTCATTTCCCAGAAGTACCATAATTTTTAGACACCCTGTATATGAACATATTCGCATATATTTAGCGAATTTCCTAGAAGAAATTATAAAAACTTATTAAGCTGTGAAATGATAGTAACAATAAACTAAACTGGTATGAAGTTATGTATGCATACGAAAGCTTTTTCTACAAATTGTAGTAATTTAATAGTGCAAAGGAGCCCCGACGAACCTTCGATATTAGAATTATTGATTTCTCCAGAAGTTTATATGTAAACAAATATATATGCTTTTACAGAGCATACAAAATTAGTTAAGTCGCGTAACTAAATGATTGTGATGTTTCTTTCATCAAGGTTATATTAGGATACTGAAACTGGTTATTGTGAAGTGACTAATTCCTGTGTCTTTGGTTTGTTTCCGGGCATAATTAGCATATATTTGCCGAATAAAACGTATTAAATCTTTGTATTCAAAGATAAACGAAATAACAGAATCATTAAATTTATATTTGTCGAATAAGTTTTTTTTGTTCAAAAACAAATAAAATTAATGAATCATTAACTTTGTATTAGTCGAATAAGATTTTGTTACTCAAAAATAAACAAAATAGAAGAATAAAAAAATTTAATATATCATATTCAATAAATATAAAGTTAATTATATTCGAAAACAAATCAAAGACCTAGTAATTGGTCACCTCACAGTAACCGGGTTCACTACCCTATACTAACAAAGAAATAATTTTCAATTAACTTGTCTTATCGAACAGTCGGATTTCTAAAAGACAAAAGTTAATGTTTCTCATATTTGAGGAAAATGAAACTCGAAAGATTGAAAGAATTCACAAGCACCTCATCGAAGTTATTAAACAAAGAAAAATGTTACTATTTAACTCCTGGTTAACGCGATTGACACAAAAATCTTATTCTGTACAGAGGACTGGCTGCAACAATATTTTTAATGCCGAAGAACGAGCAATTCTGAAAACAAACTGGGAGTAATAATAAATTTCGATTGCGCCAGCAAAGGATTCTATTCTAGAGAGTTAAATGGATTGTCTGGATCGCAATCAACAGAAAAGCCAACAAAGTCGTACGATTCCGGTCGGACGCTTTCATTCGCGTGCGGAAGTTCGAGTTCGTGTCGTAAGCATAAATAATTGATCCGCCAGTTGGTCTTTATCGTTAAAATAGATCTGAATGAAAATTTCTGCGGCATAATACAAAGTTAGCTGGAAGATCGAAATATCGAGAAAAATTCAGCTAGGAGGTTGTTTCGGCGCAGAGTTATCTGGTCCCCGATTTCAACTTTTACTCGTTCTAACTATAACTATGTATTAGCAGTAAGCGTCTCGGTGGGTCGGACTTTGCCTGGCCCGTTTTGCAGAGAATTTATGTCAACGTCCATGAGAAATCGATGCCACCGAGAAGCTTTGGGAACCGTGATGTCCCACCTTCGCATCAGTCTCGGCAAATAATGGTATCAATCCCCGTTGTAGGGACAGTGATGGGAATCAAGACACTTTGAATTAACACGTTCGCTGCCTGCGCTACACGATTGACGACCACGATCGTGAATTTCGCGAAATAAAGCCGAGCGTCGCGTCGTTCGCGTACGTTGTTGCTTCGACATTGAAACAAACGTAAACGTTTTAACAACAATTTTCTGGTGTTCTTATTACAGCAAAAATTTGTCGAATTTCTCTGAATGAAAGTTTGATATTTCGATAAAGATAATTTGTTGATTAAGTTTGTATTTTATTACGAGCGCCATTAACTTTCAAATATAATTAAATACATTATAAAGAGCACAAAAGTAATGCGTACACATTGATGTAAATTTTAGTATCTTTATTAAATTAAATACGGCGTTATTACAATAAATGAGATTACACAAACTTCGCCAAATGACACTTTTCCTTTGTGCTGATTTATGTGAAGCCACTCATGAAAATGAGGACGTGTGTATTCTGCTGGGAGCTCAGCTAGCTTTCAAACATAATTAAATACATTATAAAGTGCACAAAGCGATGCGTAGACATTGATGGAAATTTTTGCATCTTTATTAAATTAAAAATACAGCATTATTACATTAAATGAGATTACACATGCTTCGCCGAATGACATTTTTCCTTTATGCTGATTTTTATGAAACCACTCATGAAAATGAGGACGTGTATCTTTTATTGAGAGTTCCGCTAGCTTTCAAACGTAATTATATACATTATAAAGTACAAGGTAATGTGAACACATTGATGAAAATTTGTAGTATCCTTATGACAAGAAGTTACACAAACTTTGCCAAACGACGTATTTCCTTTGTTCTGATTTTTGTGAAATAACTCATCAAAATGAGAACGTGTGTCTTTCATTAAGAGCTTCACTAATTTCCAAATAAAATTATACACTTCATAAAGTACGAAGTAAATTTGACAGATGAAATTCTTTCCTTTGTTCAGATTTATATAAAATAACAAAAATGTGTTCACATCGACAACAATCTGTAGCACTCTTATTTTACGTAAGTCGCAAGAAATTCCATTTCGTTCGTAACTTCATTTTTCAACCTCGACTAATTTGTATTAGAAATGACAAACGAAACACTTGGATCTTGTCAAATCAGATTACGAATCCATACCTCAGAACCAAACACTATTTATTAACCTCACTTATCGCGTTACCTTAGATCAAATACCTTCAGTGTTAAATGAAATTGCCTGGAAATAACATTGCAACCAGTTATCTCGATTGTCTACGATAAAGCAAAACCATGAAAAATGAAACATAACGGCCGTATCATCGTTTCTTTCAGTACACGAAGCTACTTTACAATAATCACATCGATAAATATTTATTTATATATTTATAAATATATATATATATATTTCGTAATAAACGAACAACGCAGACAAATTTAAATCCACAGACGATTTGAAATCGCTGTAACAATCGGTGATACAATTAAACATTTCGTGACAGTCGTGTCTCGAGTTCCGCTCAAACCGATTCGCGACGATGCAAATGATTGCGAGCTTGCAGTGGGGCTTGAAGTATCCGTCATTAATCACGTGACATAGTGAATCGAAGATTCACTAAACGCCGGTGCACTTTTCCTTGCCGGGATTGCAACGTGACGCGACCGATGCGCTCGGCATCGGCCAATAACTTGCTTTTTAATCGGGAGATCGATCTCCCTCTTCACCACCCTCGCACGCGGCCTTCCTTTACCATTGCCTCTCAGTTGAATATTACGGGCCGCAATCGCATGATATCGACGCCGGGTACTTATTAACGTCAGCGAATTAGTGCGTGCGAGGAACTGAAGCTGCTGTACGCCGGAAAATGGAAGTTTAATGAAGCGCGTATCGTTCGAAGTTACGCGAAGTAGACGCTGGGGTTATCAGAAATGTAAACTGACCGTGCAGAGAGGGAGAGAGAGAGAGAGAGAGAGAGAGAGAGAGAGAGAGAGAGAGAGAGAGAGAAAGGAACGTCGAATAATTGCACCGAAGTGTAATTAATGGGCCACGGAATTTCTGGTTTTTCGCGTATAACAGTTTCAAATTCCCAATTATTCGTCGATTTTCCTCCATTACTGCTTGCGCCTACTCTTCCGGCGACGTCATTCGAACCGGGTTCATCAGCGATAACTAATTACGCTTGACCGGCTCTGAAAACTGTATAAAGAAATTACTGGACCCTTTACGATTAGGTTTGTCCCGCTAATAAACCAGTCCCCAGAGTTTTCAACGACCTCCGCACTCGATGAATTCGTGGTAATTATCGAATTATTCGCGGTCGCGGAAATTCATACTTTCGCTGACGCATCGGACTGATCTCATCAGTTGTTTACGCAGACTTTTTAGTCATGAATACAATATAAATATTCTATATGTTGTTGAATTAGTTACCGATTCTTCTGACGTGATCTTGTGACCTCGTTTTTGCTACATATGAATGGGTTAAACTCGTAGTAGCGTAAGTCACATTTCCAAAAAATTTATTATAAAATAAAATTTATACATGTCAAAATGTTAGAAAAACGAGTGAAATAAATTATAACGTCACTGTAAATTAACTTAATTCTAAATTATCTGAATTTATTATTTGGTGAGTAACACATGTTAGTAAACAATAACACTCTTTGTCTCTTAAAATGAGAAAAATCTGAGTTACGCCACTACGATTCTGACCCACTCATATAGCACAGTACATATTTCATAGTCTTCAGTCTAACATGGACAGTGATATTAAGTATCTGGAAACAAAATTATCTATCTCGAAAAAGTTGTTGATATCTAAATTGTACTAACTTTGTAAAAAAGGATCAAATTTTGTATAACAGTAAACCTGAATTCATTTGAAAGCTTGGAGCTTCCACTTTCATCACTCGCCACTAATTTTTTTAAATTACATTTTTGTACGGTACACCGAGTGAAAAAAGACAGACGATTGTTCCAATTCTTTTAGGTTTGACCGTTAATTATTATTTATTTCTCTCTAACTATAACAATATGTCCTATTACACTAAAACTGATTCGTGAAGACATAGGCAACGATAAAACATATTTTAGCACTGTTCCCTATAGATGCATAATTTAGTAATTTTATTTGGCCAGTGAGCTCGAGAAGCCACAACGGCCAGCATGTATTATCCTCCTTAATAATCCTACTTAACCGAGAAACGACAAGACCAACATTTGTTGATAATGAACTGAATTAATAGCTAAGCATGTGTAGAAAGATACGCTATAATTTCAGCGTCATGCGAGCAACGTCCAGCGTGGCAGAATTACTCCGGTGGATCTTGATACCGTAAAAATTTATTGAATCGCGATAATTTCGCACCGCATTGGTGGAAGATAAAGTCTAACAATTCTGGGAACGCATGAATATTTACCGGAGGTTTCTAACTAATGATGTGCACGTGCTAATCAACTGGAACATTTTTATCAACGCGGATCGTTTTTATCTTGGTCAACGAGCGCCGGACGCACCGCCTAGGCAACGATCAAACAAACAAACAAACGTTTGCATTATTTGTTGCAGGGTCGGGACACGAAATGTTCGGCATTGTGAAAATGAACTTCAGTCGTTCGGCGAACGTGATCGTTTGAAAAAAATGGAATGGTTACCATTGTGTAGGAACAGAACAATTAATATGAGTACAGTTCGTTTCTTTGTTAGCAGAACTTCTAGTTTCATTGTATTCTGCTTTTAGTTCTATTTTCGTAGGCTGCATATTCCATCTTATTAAATTCGTTTCTCATGTTAATAAAAGATAAATTAGTATTATTACACCGCAAGTCTCTATTAACTATTTTACAACAGTACAATTTCTGTAACGACTAATTAAAGACAGTAGAGTGCGATACCTCTGCACACGCACACACATTCGCGCATATATTCTGGATGCATTGAAGATCGTCATATTCTACTCTCAATATATTTTCGACGATATTAATTTTTAGAATGATACATCAACTGTTACTAAATTTAGCTACAATTGTCCCGAAATTATGTTATTTTCGGGAAGTGAGGGTTTTCTGAGTTCATTTGAAGTAACTTTTTCCTTAGCGTGTGTGTGTGTGTGTGTGTGTGTGTGTGTGTGTGTGTGTGTGTGTGTGTGTGTGTGTGTGTGTGTAAATGCAATCTGCGGCTTTGTTTGCAAGTTATTAGCGAAAAACATTGACCAATGAAAGACGAGCTCTGCTGGCATAGAGCGGACATGCATGTGACATAACCTCTCATTGGTCAGCGTTCTTCGTTAATAATTCGTAAACAAAGCCACGGATTGCATTTTCACTAAGGAAAACGTTACTTCAAATGTCTTCAAGGACTCCTCGTTTCCCGGAAGTTTGGGATACACTGTATATTTAATTGCTTTTTGTGCAAACCTTAATCGTTACGATGTAGGTAACGCAATAACATTGTATTTGTATCTTATTTTGTAGTAAAAGTCCAATTTTCCGTTTTCATTGTCTTATAAACAGAATAGAATAAAATAGAGATAAACAGGATCGTTCATCTATAATTACATTAGTAAATCATTTTACTGATTATTATTATATATAACTAGTCATTTTCTTTCAAATCAACACACCAGTTGAGGGTTGACATTTGTAGTGTTCACCGACGATATATCGTTGCCGGCTACATTCGTGAAAAATTTATATTCTTAACATTTCATTAAATAAAACTTTTATCTCTTGATTATGTTATTACTATCCACAACATTTTTGTATCCTTATTCTCAAATCATACCAAATTACAATATATCAACTTGGCTCAGTATTTTTCGCTTAGGCACAATATTTTCGGCCCGCATTAAAACAGTTCAAGTAAATTAAAGAATTATTTAAGAATTAGTATAATATAGTTTTCGCTTAGAAGTATCAGGTTTCGTTAACATAGACCGTACCGAGCGTTGAAAGCGACTAATACGTACTGGCTTATAAAAATTACAAGATCGAATTTACCTTAGATTTTTGCAATTTTTATATCAATATATATTCGGATGAATAAATTTATTTAATGGTTTCTGGTAGAAGTGTCTTTATAATTTCAATACTCGTCGAATAAAATCTGTTGAACCGATCATTTGGCTGCCAATGGTACGGTTAGTGTTAACGCTCTTTAACCCTCGCAGTACCGGAGATTGGGCGTTCATGCGAAGCCCATTATTTGATAATTATGTATACAAACATTTGGAATTAAAATCTTGTCCTTATTATCATCATCATTATTATTAATATTATCTTACCGTACTATGTTCTTAAACAAAGATGATATCAGGTGTCAAACGGTCAAATTAGGCCTCGAATTCTAGGTCCGATAAAACCCGGACGTGGCATGGGTTAAAGAGCTACAGATCGAACCGACATCGTACAGGATATTGACAGCTTCCCGTTGGTCTGCGACTAATTGGACACAGAAATATCAAACATTCTTTAATCGCGAAACGAAATGGATGCATTCATCCCAATGCACCCGTAGTTTGCTCATCGAATATTAATTTCAAGCGGAAGCGCCGGGTTAGAGATAATTCGCGCAACTCGTCGCTCAGTTAATTATAATTTTTAATATCAGCCGCAATCGCCAATCGCAGCTCGAGCAGTTTATCTCGCGTTGCGTTATCCAGATTTTCGTTTCATCCACTTGAACGTCGCGCAGTTTTACGAAACAACTTGGCAGAGATAAAAAATCGATTTTTATAAAAATTGTAAATCGGAAAAAATTGGAGTGACTTGAGAAACAGCTAATTTTAATTAGCTGCTAAATTAACAGCTGATTTAAGTATTAATATTTTAATATTTGTCTTCGTTTTCTTGTGACCGATGATTAAAAATGGCAGGGACTCACAGATGTCATTGAAAGCTTTTATGTTTTTTAATTCTGAGGAATAATACTTCAGACAGTGTAGATAAAATTAGTGCATAATTTATTGCATATATATTAAACCTATTATTGGGTTGTCAACTAAGTAATTGCCGATTTGTTCAATGAAATAAAAAATTTTTTTACTTGGAATGAAGTTTATAATCTGTAATATATTTTCCATTTTGTTCGATGACCTTTTGCCATCTCCCTGACAACTTGAAAATTGCACGCTCGTAACATCAATTCCCAACCAATATCCATCAATTTTTACCGAGTGGACAAAGATGTGTGCGGCCTAGCATTGTTCTGGTGGAAAATGACACCTTTACGATTGACCAATTCTGGTCGTTTTTCCTTGACCGCTGCATTCAATTTGTCCAGTTGCTAACATTCACGGATAGTAAAAAATAACATAATAATAATAATAATTTTATAATATAACATTTACGGATATCACAAAAATGGGAGTGAGAGACATCTATAACTGAAATCGGCAATTACTTAGTTGCCAACCCAATAGGTATAAATTGCAATAAAATGTTAATAATTGCTTTAATAATAGTGTTCATAGTAACCAGCTAGCTGTTGTAAGCTTTTTGAGAAGTGTGTACCTACAATGTTTTGCAAAAAGCAAGCAATGTAGCGACGACTAACGAAGCATAATACTTTCTTGACACAATATATAATTTTCTCATAATAATTATTTATATCTTTTTATTTGTTCACTTATTTCGTCTTTGCCTCGAAATATTCAAAGAATCGTAAAATTTACGAATATATTTTAGTTCTTAAAATTGCAATTTAAACAGCAAATTGTAATTAGTTTTTACGAATATACTCGGTATAAAACAAAATGTTACCACTTCTTCGTGATGAGCGTGCTCGTGAAAAACAGCTAATTGGTAAAAGGAGAAACGTATTCAAAAGAACTTGAACTTCTTCTAAACTTCCACAGAGTAGCAGCCATTTGCGAAGATCCCTTTCACTTTCACACCGGAGGACTCTCCATTCATACCAACAACTTAGCTTACACTTCATTTCGTAATTCGAAACGTAATTCACATTCACGCTACACGCTGTCAAGCATAACATCACCCCACTTTCAAAAACAATCTCACAGTAATAACATTAAAATTAATGGAATACAATGATTCTAATGTAGTAATTGAGTTCTCAATGTTCAACCATATACAACCTCATATGTAACATAACCTCATTTTCAAAAACAATCTTGCAATAATAACATTTAAATTAATAAAATGCAAAGATTCTAATATAGTAATTGGGTTCTCAAAGTATGTACAACCGGGCAGGGGATGACATAACCTCATTTTCAAAAACAATCTTACAATAATAACATTTAAATTAATAGAATACAAAGATTCTAATATAGTAATTAGGCTGTCTCTTATACACATCTAGATGTGTATAAGAGACAGCCTAATTACTATATTAGAATCTCAAAGTATGTACAACCTGTCTCTTATACACATCTAGATGTGTATAAGAGACAGCCTAATTACTATATTAGAATCTCAAAGTATGTACAACCTGTCTCTTATACACATCTAGATGTGTATAAGAGACAGCCTAATTACTATATTAGAATCTCAAAGTATGTACAACCTGTCTCTTATACACATCTAGATGTGTATAAGAGACAGCCTAATTACTATATTAGAATCTCAAAGTATGTACAACCTGTCTCTTATACACATCTAGATGTGTATAAGAGACAGCCTAATTACTATATTAGAATCTCAAAGTATGTACAACCTGTCTCTTATACACATCTAGATGTGTATAAGAGACAGCCTAATTACTATATTAGAATCTCAAAGTATGTACAACCTGTCTCTTATACACATCTAGATGTGTAT